AAACTCACTCCATGGATTTTGATGGTTCAACTTCCTATTATTTTTCATCTGTTTCTAGCTTTAGTTTCTTTCCAAATTTTCATTAGACGTTCCAATAAATTTCTGGGTGCTTCCGCAATCGTTCTATTACTTCTGGGTTGTTTTGTTTTTGGGTTTCTTGTTCTTGTTCATTGGGTTTCTGGGTTTCATAAGCTTTGGTGCTTCTGCTTCACTCGCTTCACCTGAACCAGATGCATTGAAGTTGATTCTCGGTGGGTCTGCTTGTGCTTGTTGTCCAACAAAAACCGGAATAGTCTCATCAAGTGCTGCTCTGAATAGTCTCACCAAGTGCTGCTCTTACATCCTCGAAATCAAATTTTCTTTCCCCTGAGTTTTCTCCTACCCTGGAAGCCGGTGTATTCTCATGAGTTGGTGGTGCGTCATTAGAATCTTGTGATTCTTGTTTGCTGGAATGTGGGTTTTCCTCAGAATTTGGGTTCTGTTTAGTTGCTCGACTCAATCGTCTCGGAATTTCTCTTCTGCGTTGCTAATTGGAAAGTGGGATCTTGGACTATGTTAGGTTGTTTCTTGTATTTGTCATCTTCTTTATGCATATATGGTGTTTGTGGAATTGCCGCAGAAGATAAAGTGTGAGATTTTATACATCATTAATTGTGAGGGCCATTGACATTAGTTGAAGAATGATGGAATATAGTTTCTTGATTGTTTGCCAAGATAATTTTGTGTTGATGGTTATTCAGATTATGGTCTCTTCTCGGTGTCGTTCGCATATCAGCTCTTTGTGCTCTATATCTGCCACTTTGATCCATGTTGTGTTCTCTGTTATGGAGAAAATTTCTCAACTTTGTGCAGTCCACAGGTTTGAAGAAATGCACAGCTCAAGTTGTTTTGTGAAATTGATGAAGACACAGGTTTGTCAAGTTGTTTTGATGTTTTTTGGATGAATCGTCTAAAGATAAACTACTGTTTCATTTAGTGATTTGGTTGGATTACAAGATTTCAAGATTTCAAGAAAGTGTCATTCTTTCTTGATGGTTAAGAAAGTATCATTCTTTCTTTGATTCCATAGAATTTGTCAAGAGTGTCATTCTCTTGTTGCCGTAGCATTTGTGTCAAGAGTGTCATTCTCTTGCTGCCTGGAAGAATTTATCTGTTATGATTTCTGGATTACACTTGTGTCTTTCATCATGGCTTCACCAATGGCTAAAGGTGTAGTCTTGTGTGATGATAATGGAGTAAGTAGAGGTTTTGGTTTATGTCTTAATTCTTCAAGAAGCTGCAAAAGCTCTCAGTAATCTTTTGGTCAGTAGTTACAAAGGTGTCATGGGTGCACTTGTTTGATTCAGGGTTTTGGGAAAGCTAGAAGGTTTGGTGATAGGTTTCGTGGGTGCTTTCTTGTTTGCAGCATCAGCCTCAAAAGTGGAAAAGATGTGGGAATGAACATTCAATTGTTTGATCACTTGAAGGGTAATCTTCACAATGACAAATGAGATTGATAAGCAGTTGGTGATTCCAGATGGCAATAAACGTAAGATTTTGGAGTCTCATGACAATGAAAACAATCTTGCTGTTGTCAAATATGGGGAAAATTTGATATCTAATGGCAATGGGAATTTTGGTGTTGATGGTCATGAATGTAATGAGCATTCTGATGGAGCGAATTCCTCTGTGGCGATCCCTCATATTCTGTTTAGGGACGAAATTACTGACATAGAAGTGGCTTTGGATAAATTGCTGCAAGGTTTCTTGAGAAGGATGAGGTGCCAAATTGTATTAGTAGAATATGAATGGTTAGGGAAAATGACAGCTAGCAACGGCTTACTCAAGGTTCCTGAGCATGACTTTGTTGTCGTTACCTTCAGCTACAGTATTGATTTTGGTAGAAAAGGGTTACTTGATGATGTAAAGTTGCTTCTTTCATCCAGTCCTACGGAAGAAACAGAGAATGGTGAATGCAGCAGCAGTAAGAGAAAGAAGTTCTTCTCTGACCCCGAGGATATTAATGAATCTTTAAGTAATCAGTTTGATTCATGTGGGGAAGATTCATCTGCTTCATAGTTTTAGGTGCAGCATTGACATGGGGTTTCTGCAGTGTTTAGCTTCATAACAGTAATTGCAGATATATTTACAAAAGGATTGCACAGTCCAATGTTCTTGAAGCATTGCAGACATCTTGGTCTTGTAGTTCTAAATCAATCTCAAATACCTGGCGAGTTCAAACTTCACTTGGATACTTCAAGTTTAGTTTGAGGGGGGAGTAATAAATGATATAACAGAAATGCCACATGACATTATTCTAGTGATTGAGTTTGTTAATATAGTTAGAAGGGTATTACTTTCATTGGGATATATGGCTATATAAGGGATCATATAGCTATCATTTTCTTAAGTTCAGTTGTATACATTTTCTCTAATCAATCAATACAATCTCGCTTGTTTCTCTCTACCAATTCTTTCTCTTCCTCTGTACCAATTTCATCTTTTGCAATGTAGTTAATAGAGTGATGACAACAAACATTTCTCAGAGGTACTCCCTCTCTCTTTGCGTTTTGATTCTCTATCTCACATCTTGATTTGGTTATAGGAGTACAAGAATTTTATGTTCTCCTTATTCAATCTGCACTCTTATGGAAATTGATTTTTTTTTTTATGTTTTTATTGCTTTATATTCATTCAGTTATTGGGGTGCACAACAAATTCAATTCTCATATGCTACTTATTTCTGCAGTTACGAGCTCCCTTTAAAATTTATACATATTATGAGGTATACACTTCAACAATGTCCTTGATTTTTCATCCCTGTCATTTATCTGGGCAGGTCATTGGTGACCACAATTATGCTCCTGGTGAACATGTTAGATGCTACTTAATTAAGGTGGCCTGTTTCCCCCATTTAAAATTACACGTACCCTTTCAAATATCATTTTTTGTTTTGAAACAGTTGATCAATTTTTGTTCTTGTAGACGGCTCATTAACATTATAACTCAATACTCGTTCTAGATGTCTCTCAATTGGGTTTGAAATTTTAATGACCTTCTGCTAATTTCTTATGTATTTTTTTTTTAATGAATTAGCAAAAAATTTTATTCCTTGCTGGTCATTGTATAGGTACTGATAAGATACGGAAAATTTTCAAATGCTACCCTGCTGCTGGACTTTGGGTTTACACTTTCATGCAACATTCACGACCAGGTCAGTCTTGGATTTCAGTTTACTTTAGTCACAATGATTGCTTTGTTATGCTGAGAAGATCATTCTGTAGCTTAGTTCACACTTCTTACTTTGATTTAACACTTTGACTGGAAGTTTGTTTTTGGTAACAAAACTATTCTCTCTTGACTCAATAAACAAGAATGTTTTTGATCCAGCACTTGCTTAAGAACCTCTTTTGATAAGTTGGATGTCTTTCTTGGGAGCATAGTAATTGCAATTAGTTGAGTTCTTGTAATCCTTTGTTCAGTAAGTTTTCTTGAAGACTCAAGCCACTTAATTATTCTGTCACTCAGTGTTAATTAGTAAGATGCTGAATATGCGTTCTAAGTCATTTCTTGCCAGATGATGGTTCTGATAATGTAATCTGTAAATGTTTGGGGATGCCTGTGGTCTGTTTTCAGGTACAGATCAGGGCAATATACCTCATCATGATGTCCTTCGTGAATGAAGTGGGAACTTTTGAAGAGACATCACAGACCAATCAGTAATGATGTCAATGGTTTCTACTCTTCAATGGATTCTTTCACTATCAAGTTGGCAGTGATGCATATATCTCTTTTATTTCCCTTTTTCTTTTTCCCCTATTTTTGTTCCTTTGCCTACATGATGCCCTTTATCGCCCGCATCTCGTGGTACTCTGTGAAGTTACCAAATGGTCTGTTTCTTTTGTTCCATTTCCAGTCTTGTTTAATTAATCCGTTTATCCGCGTTATGACTTGATACCTTGTGATGAAAATCTTTTACTGATTACAATAATCATATGATGACATAGGGAAGTTAGGTCTGGTATGGAAAAGGGAAAGGAATTCGAGTCACTTCGTGCATTTGCTCGTGCACCTCTCCTCAAGGTGTGTTCTCTTCATGTTACCTTACTCGCATGCATTGGTTGATTGGCTCGACGTGCCCTTTAAAAAACAGCAGCAGAGAGATTAAAGCACATCAGATGTTATCATGATTAACCCATTTAGCTGAGGCTAGTGATGCATATATCAAGGTAAAGATGCTAGCTTTTTACCTCATCCTTTTACAGAACTTGCCTAACTTTCTAGACCAAGTACAGTTCTTGTGAATTCAGGAATTCTAAAGCACATCAGATGTTGTAACATACCCATTTTGGTTGAGATATTAATGAAATTGAGGAATTTTATAACTTGGGAAGCAGTAATAAACATATGAAGAGAGTGAACTTTTAATATACTCATTCTATGGTTTACATAATGTTGCATCTGACTTGTACAAATGTAATAACTCCTTTTTGTGCTTCTTGAGTGTATGCATAGTCTTTGGGACCCATAAGTTCTCCCATTGCATGCCAAAGACTTTCTATTCGGAGGCAAATGGCTCGGGGTCTCCTCAATGGTGAACTTCGTCTTCTTGTACTCAAATCTGCTTCTGCGTGGCTAAGAAACGACTGCGACACGTTGACTACAACAGATTGCCATAGATGACGATATTGGCTTTGCAAAACCACCGAAGATTCGAGAGAGGTAATATTGTCGGAGACTATTTACGCGATCAGACACATGTACAAGTTATTTACTTTGATGTCTATTTTCAGTGAAACTCTGTATATGAATAAGCTTTTTTTTAAGAGTCATAATTAGTATGAACCAATATGAATAAGCTTTTTCTTTTTTAAAGTACAATTAAAAACAGTTCCTTTCTCACTCCCTTGATTTAGGATTTCCTAGACAACTCTGAAGCTATAGACGTTACTCTTTTCTGTTTGCGAGGATGGTACTGTTAGGACATATACAATCGAATGGGCAACTGCAAAGATAAAATGTAATGGGCAAATATAAATATTTGATACTAATTCTAAATTCCATGGTTTACACAAGCTACCAATCGCATCTTACTTGTCAACCTTCACTACACGACTAATGAATTATTTCACAAGGACACACTCAAACTGAAACTAGCTGCGTCGGTTCAGTAATACTTCACTCGGAAGTTCCAGAACCCGAAGATATATTATTCTCCACCGTAGAAGGGTTTGCCCTGGTCATAATAGTTTGCACTACAGTGTCAAGCTTCGCAGCTACATCTTTCATGGAAGGCCTTTCCTGCCCCCTTTTCCTCAAACATGCCACGGCAATGTTGCTCACTTCTTCGGCTATAGTAAAATTGTCTTTGATCACTTGACAATCGAGAATTTGATGCAAGAGACCCCGTTGCACTGAACGAACAAAGGCGTCTGCTAGGAATCTCTCAGGCCCGTTAGACGAAACTGCTTTTTGACTTGTTAGTAGCTCCACTAGAACTACTCCAAAGCTATAGACGTCACTCTTCTCTGTTAGCACGTGTGATACACGATACTCGGGGTCTAAGTATCCCAATGTCCCTGGCAAAGTTGATACTTCAGCTTCCCCCGATGACTCTGGCAAATTTGATTCTCCATATTCCCCCCATGGCTCTGGGATAGGTGTTGCTTCATCCCAAAATAGCTCTGGCGAAGTTGATACTTCATCTTCCGTTTCACTGTTATCACCATCATCAAGCCGTGTCTCTGACAAAGTTGGTCGTACATATTCCATTTCACCTTTATCTTCATGAAGTAATCGTGAAGCTCCAAAACCGGAAACTTTTGCAATGTGAGTTGTATGATCTATTAATATATTCTCTGTCTTCACATCTTGGTGTATGACTGACATGGAGTGCAAGTATGCTAAAGCTCCTGCAGTTTCCGCTGCTATATTCATTCGTTGTTGCAGCAAGAGTTTCGGTCTATTCATGTGAATGTGCTCCTCAAGAGTCCTAGCAGAGGTGCGGTCATAAACCATTATAGGCCATTTTGTCTCTAAACAACAACCTAACAGCCTCACCACATTTTTGTGTCTGATTTGAGAAAGAACAAATGCCTCATGAACCAAATGTTGACTCTGGATGAACCGGTTACCAATATCAGCACTGTTGGACGTTTTTATGGCAACAGGTGTTTCACTTCCAGGTAATGCTGCTTCGTAAACTGCTCCGTAGCCGCCTTCATTTTCATAGTTAAGACAACTGTAGTTGCTTGTGGCCTCCTTAATGTCCTCTTCAGTAAATCGTACGACTGCCTCAGAAGATGATGGCCCAGGCATTGTAACGGTGGGGCTTGCATAATTAACCACTTTCTGTGCGAGTCTGCCGTAATTTTTGATGAAATGCTTGCGGAATTTAGTGGCTACCCTCTCCATGTTCACCGCCGTCAGAACAAGGACTTCAATACATTCAGATACTGCATAAGGAGACTCAGCTACTGTAGGCACTCTGCGAGGGAAAGAGATCGAGAATGGCCAATCCAGAAGTTCTTCTCCATAGAATTCTCCTGGCCCTTTTTGATTAAAACTTTGATCGGATATATATCCAGCCACAATGAACAATACTTGAATTGGGTCACCCCTTGCAATTATGTTCTCTCCGTCAAAATACTTCATGGGCCGAAGATGGCTACAAATTTGTTTCAGCACTGATTCTTCCATGTTTTGGAATACTGGCATCTACATTTCATAACATTTAAGTAAATTAATTGAAAAATAAAAAAATATAATACATAAGTACATAGTTATAACTAACTCGTGAATTTTAAAAAGCTTCCATCCATCATTAATCTCCAAAATTTTTATTAAAATCTACAGCCTTTGAACCATTCTTCTGTTTGCTCACTGCAAGAAAATGAAGCCAATGTAAACGTGAAAGGTGTGAGTGTTGCTCGGTTGCAATGATGCCCGGTGGCTTTAGAGCTATTTAAATTATATTTTGTTGACCACATAATACAATGGTTGATAATTGATTTTTTTTAATGGTCTCCTTAGTATTTTTCTTACATGAATCATTACTATAAAAAATGTAACAAGTGGCATAATCGTGATGGTTTATTTTTTGTTTTTTATCTGTCAGTGACATTATTGCAACCCCATCAGATCATGTTTTTCTTGTTTCTACTACTCACTTTTTTGTAACGTTTGTTTTTTTTTTTTCCTGGTTTTAATGAATATCATTTTTGGGTTATTTGGATGATTATAACTACAAAAGTTTACATGCTTCAAGTTATAAAAAAATGTATCTAAGAGCACATCTAAACGACTCATGAAATCTTCCTTTAAAAAGGGAAATTGGCTAAATGATGAAAAATGCAAATGAGAGGTTTTAATATAAGATATATCGTTATACTCATCATCCAAAATATAAAAGTAAAAACTATTCAGACCCTCTTATAAACCCCTTGCATCCCTCCTATAGACCCACCATTTTACCTATATAGACCCATCATTGTTTTTTTTATTTGACAGCTTCTGGATTTTACCTATATAGACCCCTTGCATCCCTCCTATAGACCCACCATTTTACCTATTTGACAGCTTCTTTTTACTTTTGTTTGTTTGTTTTTTTTTTTTTTTCCTCTCATGTACGCTCCATCTTTTCCTGGGCAATGGCCGGGACTAAATAAAGAGCACTTGGCTATTTTAGCCTAGGCCTGACATGTCTCTCATTAGAACTGATTTTTGTCATTTTAGAGCTAGATTGTTATGTAGTCTAGGTTGGGCTTTGTATGGTATACGTTTGTTATGCTCTAATTAAATACCTGGGAACTCTAATATTACATGTGTATGCCTGGGATATTGGGATGACAGATATAAATAAATAAATGCTTCCAATTCTATGTTCAAAATTAAAGCCATGGATTCATGGATTTGAAGAAACTTTACCTGCTTCAACTTTGTCAATGGCATATAATTTTTGATCTCGTTTTGAAAATCCGAGGGGGGAAGACTAGAAACGAGATTATACCAATCAGAAGGGAGATTATCCCAATTTTCCAAGCTAAGATTTTCCATGATCCACGACTTTGTAGACTTATTCAACCTTTTTGGTATTCCATTTTTAGGTATCCACAAATTCATTTGTTGCTTCACCACCTCTTTCATCATTTTTCTATGTCTAGGCTCCTCTCTTCTTTTAACGTCTAATTGCCCGTATATCTATCAATCCACAAAAAAAAAAAAAAAAAAGGTTGTTAAGAGGTTCTCTCTCTTATCCCAATTAATTTTACCATGGATGCTCAATTGTAATATGGAAAATGTGCATTTGATTAAGAGCTTACACGTTTCAAGTGGTGTGAAGTGAGAGCAAGGGCTTCAACAACACCAGTTGTCTTTACAGATTCAGTTGCCGACGGTTGTTCGGAAGGGAAGTCAGAGTAGAATGGCCAACGTAGAAGTTCTTCTCCAAATAATTCTCCTGCATCTGCATCTCGACTCAAATCATTAGAAGATCTCTCTTCAATGGATACAACTCCGTCTACAATGTAGACCATCTTTTCAAATATTTCACCCTTTTGAATAATAAAGTTGTTCTCAGTATATCTCACGGGCTCAAGTTTCTCATAGATTATTTTTAACAAACCTTCATCCATCCCTTGAAGCATTGGCACCTGGAATTCATGTTGTAAAACTATCAGAGAGAAAGCAAGAAAGGCCATAGGAAGAATTAATTAAATTCTTATTAAAAAGATAAAGAGATACAATCCGCAACAATTAATTAAATTCTTGTTAAAAAGATATAGAGAGACAATCCTCGTTTTATATAAGGAACTTACTTTTTTCAACCAAGCCAAAGACCTAGCATCTTGTATATGGCTTTGAAGATCCGGGGGAAGAAGAGGGAGAATACTGTCCAAATTAGCATATACACTCTCTTCAAGTGCTTCTTTTACCTTTCCCATAATCCGGGACTTGATTTTCTCAATCAAACTGGTGGGATTGCCATTTTTAAATAACAACAGTTCTATTTCTCGAACTATTTCTTTCCTCTTCTGTTCCATTACCATCCTGTGTTTGTGATCCTCTGTTCTTGTAGCAGCTATTTGCATATACATCTATTCAACAAGAGATCGATGTCATCATTATTTTGGATTTTGAGTTTAATCTTTTTTTTTTTTGGGGGGGGGGTTTGATATGGGTCCAAAGTAACTAAAAATTTGACATATTCAAAAGGTAGTCTATAAAATTTGACCTATTTCAAAATTTTCCTTTTTTCTATATTACTACCATTTTAACCACAAAAAAAAAAAAGAGAGAAGAAGAAGAAAGAAAGAAATACTAGCTACTTTTAGTTATAATCTTTTGATGAACACAGTATCATGAACATAATGCACCTAACCAACGGACCACAATTAAAATCTAACATACATGACGAGAAATTTCTCTATAGCTAGAACTAGAACGTGGCCATACGGTGTTGTTTTCTCATTCAAATTACACACATACTTATTTTTTTATTAATATATCCTAATAGGGGAATATCATCTACTTATATGGTAACATGTGAATTAATACATTACATGACAAGTGTTCCTATTATAAGTAAAAATTTCTTATACATGGCATTCAAGTTTCGTGAAAAATCATATAAAATTTTCTTATACACGGCATTTAGTTTTAGTAAAAAATCATACTTAACGTATAAGTAGTTCTAGAATACTTAATATATACTAGGTTAATTAGAGTGAATTTAATGGAGAGAAATGCTAAGGAGACTCTCTCAATGTGAGATTCTCTATAGACTCTCTGTCATCTCACAGTTTAATGTCAATTATCGTGCCAACATTATAAAACATTGTGCCAAAAACGTGAGGTGACAAAGAGTCCATAAATAGTCCCACTTTTGAGAGAGTTACCTTAGCATTTCTCTTTAATGGATAACAAAATCTTCACTGATCAAGTTTACATAATTGAAGTGATTAATTAGCACTTAATGATAAGCGTAAGAAAAGTTTTTTAAACAAACCTGCAAATTTCCAATGAGATATAAAAACAGGAGCAAGCCAATTATAGAAACTAAAGCCGTAAAGAGGTTCTCCCATCCATCTGCACTGGGCTGAAGATTTGAACCAAAGGAACTGCAAAAATCAAATTAATGGATCACTATACAAGATAACCAATTTCAAGTTATAAACTTACAAATTTACAACCTTTTTTTCTAAAGGCTTATTTGGTTCTATGGTTCCTTGTTCCTAAAATTTATCCAAGATAACATTCTAGTCTCCCAACTTGATTTTTAATATCTACAAGTCTTTCTACTCGACTCTATTTCCTAGAAGCAACGCTTTAGTTTTTGATGTGTGATTCATATTTTCAACAAGAAGAACCAATGTTAGGGACTAAAAGTCTAAAATTTAAAGTAAAAATGAGTATGTAGATAGTATTATCCAATTTAAATCAGGAGCAAATTCAAATACACAAATGTACAAACCTTAAATGTTGTAGACCCCACCAAAAACAGTTTGAGAACTTTTGGAAATAATCAGTTGATCCTACAATACCATATTGAAGCACAGTAGCAAATATACCAAAATCGATGGGCATTGTGTCTGATGAATTGAGAGGGCACAAATCATTTAGAATTGTGGTATTTCTAAATGCGTGGTGATCATGACAATGAAAAATTCTGTTATCACATCCATCATCCTTTCGACATGCAGAATGCCAACACCTCATCATTCGTTGAATGGCAAAAAAGTACCACATGGCTCCCAATACCTGAAAATTAAACAAATAAACAAACAAAAAAATTGAAGAAAATTATATAGGGTGATTAATAATTCAGATGTTATTGTTATTTCAAAATAGTCATTTATCGTTCTTTTTAATAAAAAAAAAAGTGAGAAAAGAATAATAATAATAATTGATTCGACAAACAAAAATAAATGAGGATATACATTGAAACTTACATGACTTGCCATTATGTACATAGAGAAATTGAGTACACCTTTAATCCATACGGAAGTCTCTGTAATCTCTTCTTTAGGAGTCCTTTTAAGTTCCATAAATGAGAGGTAGATGCGAAGAACTCGTGTCACATATTGCGACAGAGCAAAAATGTTCATGATAACCATCCTTCTTTTAGTCATATATCTCAAGTCACTCATTTTTGAAAAGAAAATGAGAATTGCCACCTGGATACCATATATTAGTACATAGTGCCAATAGTGAAAATCGATTGATCAATTACAACAATGTCAAGGACACAAAATTAACACTTAATAACAAAGTGTATGTGAGATCTAAATGTCTATTACACAGTGTGTCAATTTTGCATTTAACACAAAAAAAAAAAAATCCGCTTTGGCTGCATGCAAAGCAAATAGCGAAACAATTACGCCAACAAAGGGATTTAACTGCTTACCTGTGGAAGGGGAAGAAGAGCTACAATGTCAATTAAGATATCAATTGACGCCCGTATTATCTTGGCTATTCTTCGCACACTAGATTTCCATCTAAAGTTTTGTCTGTCATCAAGTTCATTGAATAAACTAGATGAATAGTTCTCATGTCTATAAATTCGAATAATAATATCCATTAAATAGAAAAGATCTGTGATTGTTCTTAAAATAAGAGCAGTTATCTTCAACTTTGGGTCTAACATAAGGCACTTGAAATCATCCATGAGAATCGGAACGTAGAGGAATAACGGATCCACTAGAACAGCTAAAAAACACGATGCGATGAATATCTTCCTCCAATATTTTTTATCAAAGGACTCGTCAGGCTTTTGAGTTCTCTCTGTCCATATGGAACTTGATTCATCTTCAGGTTGCATGGTCATGACAGTGTTTTCTGATCTGGCCATTGGACTTGAATAAGAATCACTGGACAAAACATAACAAATGTAGTTAGTAATTGACCTTAAAACGACTGAAATTTTTCAAGACATAGTGTCGGAGCACTTAAAACCCTCAAATTTGATGGAGTGATTGAAATTTGTTGATCGTTCATCAAATCTGATACCATAAGTGTTTCGGCTATTTTTTTTACTTTGTAAAGCGGAATGATTGATAATTGGTCTTTCTTCTTTTTCAAATGTCACTTTCAATTATTGCGTGAATACTAATTGGCTCTCTTCCTTCACGTAAGGTGGGCCTCCCCTTGTCCGATGATTCTCCACTCGGGCGAAAGCCCCTTCAATAATTGACGACTGATTGCCCGAAACATCAGAAGAGGAGCAGCACTTCCTTTATTCTCTATATCTCTCTCTCTCTCTCTTTTTTCTAAAAGGCAAAGTACTTTACAAAGTGCAATAATTGCCAACAGCTTCTTCTAAAAGTCATTATGACTTTTACATTATATTGAGTGGCTTTCACACGGTGTAAAATTACACACAAAATGAGACATAAATTTAATATTCTTCAAACCGAAAAAAGTAATGTGCATTTTTTCGTTCTTTCTCTTGAAAACTCTGTGAAATGATAACTAGGCAACGGAAAACACTATTTGTACTTGGCATAGCAAACATTTGAGGATCTATTTTAATGTTATTATTCTAATTAATATTATTTTTTCTACGACCTTCTTCCTCTCTCTGGAAAGATCTTTTCATCTCTGTGGTTCGAACAATTTGACAATTAGCATGAAGAGAACAGTGCTTCCACCGGAAAATAAAAGGGAGGGGGTGGAATACCCAACACAAACGCTCCAATTTAAGAGCAATCCAGAAACTCAAATTTAAAAAATTATCAAAAATTTTGGAGGACTAAAACTCAACGAAGAAAGAATAAAGGAAGAAGACCCAGAGGTCACAGGAATTTTTTTTTTTTTTTTTTTTGAACCACTGCTGAAATTAAACGATTTTGAAAACCGATGTCTAATCATTAACAATTCTACCTTCCGTTTCACAGCCAAAGTATCAATGCAATGCTCATTCTTTTTTGACAAGATTGAAAATGGTGTGTGAGTGAGCTTACACCACAGTGCTTAAAAACTTTTTGTTTCAAAGCCCACCGTGAGCTGGGCTTATGGAACTCCTCGATATAGAGCCAGATTCGAGCACTGCAAAACTTGAATGTTGTTGTTGGGAGTCGAATAGTGGTGGTCGCAGGGCTGCCGTCACCTGAAGACGTCTGAAAGTCACCGGAAATGTCGAACCCAAACTGGGTTCGAGGGTTCTAAGAGTTCGGGTGCGAATTCAAATTAATGCATGACCGTATTGATTTGGAGAAGGAGATGAAATTGATGATTTTGGATTTTTTAGCAGTCGGGGAGAACATCGAGAGGGAAGAGGGATAAGGAGGAGGAAGAAAAAAATAAAGAGAGTTGTAATGAAAAGCCGCAGGTCATTTTAAAGAAAAACTACATTTTTACATTAAAAAGTTAATCATAGGACTATTTACTTTACTTTTTATTTTGTAGTTATTATTAAAACTTAAAGTTTTCAAACCTTTTTCATTAGTTTTCCTAAAAATAAAATGCATAAATATTTTCTTACAGTAATAGAGAAGTAATAACACAAACTTAACAGGGGCAAAAGTTAAAAAATTAAAATGATATTTCTCCACCCGTAATTAATTTAAAAATAATTCCTCTTATATATCTACAATTATAAACTTGTCTCTTAAGAAAATGAAACGTAGATCTCGAATTGAAGACAAATCGGAGATTTTCGCATGTTGTCTTTCAAATTCAGATATGGGTTCAAGTACTACTTTTTATGGGGAATGGATTTGGGTGTCCCTCCTCTTGATTCAAATTGCAAAGATCATTTTTCTGAGTTTTTTTTTATTCCCGTTTTGGAGAATTGGCTCAATTAATTTGGAAATTTATTTTCTCAATTAATTAAATTCTTATTAAAAAAAAAAAGAGATACAATACAATCCTCCGCAATTAATTAAATTCTTATTAAAAAGATATAGAGAGACAATCCTCGTTTTATATAAGGAACTTACTTTCTTCAACCAAGCCAAAGACCTAGCATCTTTTATATGGCTTTGAAGATCCGGGGGAAGAAGAGGGAGAATATTGTCCCAATTAGCATTCACACTCTCTTCAAGTGCTTCTTTTACCTTTCTCATAATCCGGGACTTGATTTTCTCAATCAAACTGGTGGGATTGCCATTTTTAAATAACAACAGTTCTATTTCTCGAACTTTTTCTTTCCTCTTCTGTTCCATTACCATCCTGTGTTTGTGATCCTCTGTTCTTGTAGCTGCTATTTGCATGTACATCTATCCAACAAGAGATCGATAGGAATTAGATTATCAGCATTGGATAGGAATTTTTTTTCTTTAAAGCTGAATGTCATCATTATATTGGATTTTGAGTTTAATCTTTTTTTTTTTCTATATTACTACTATTTTTTTTCTATATTACTACCATTTTAACCACAAAAAAAAAAAAAGAAGAAGAAGAAGAAGAAGAAGAAGAAGAAGAAAGAAAGAAATACTAGCTACTTTTAGTTATATACTATTTTTTTTTTCTATATTACTACCATTTTAACCACGAAAAAAAAAAAAAAGAAGAAGAAGAAAGAAAGAAATACTAGCTACTTTTAGTTATAATCTTTTGATGAACACAGTATCATGAACATATTTAGGTATCTTATTGGACCTATACAATGAAATTCATAATAATGCACCTAACCAACAGACCACAATTAAAAATATAACATACATGACAAGAAATTTCTTTGTAGCTAGAACTAGAACACGGCCACATGGTGTTGTTTTCTCATTCAAATTACACAAGACTTGTTTTTTTTATTAATATATCCTAATAGGGGGACGAATGAGGATCCTTTTTGTGAGGATGCCGGGAATTCTCATATCGTGTCCGTTCATTGTACATTGTGCGGCCAATTTTTGGACTGTTCATATTTAATTTTAAATAAAATTATTTTAAAATGATTTTTGACCGTACAATATACAATGAACCTACACAATTTGAGGATCCCGGGATCCTCACAAAGAGGATCCAGAGAGAATCCTCATTCAAGGGGGAATATCATCTATATCATCTACTTATATGGTAACACATGAATTAATACATTACGTGACAAGTGTTCCTGTTATAAGTAAAAATTTCTTATACATGGCATTCAAATTTAGTGAAAAATCATATAAAAAATCCTTTCACATGGCATTCGAATTTAGTGAAATATCATACTTAACATATAAGTAGTTCAAGAATACTTAACATATACTAGGTTAATGAGAGTGAATTTAGTGGAGAGAAATGCTAAGGAGACTTTGTCAAGGTGAGATTCTCCATGGACTTTCTGCCATCTCACAGTTTAATGTCAATTCTCGTGGCAACATTCTAAAACATTGTGCCAAAAACATAAAGTGACATAGAGTTCATTTTGAGAGTCCCACTTTTGAAAGAGTTACCTTAACACTTCTCTTGAATGGATAACAAAATCTTCACTGATCAAGTTTACATAATTGAAGTGATTTATTAACACTTAAGGATAAGCGTAAGAAAAGTTTTTTAAACAAACCTGAATATTTCCAATGAGATATAAAAACAGAAGCAAGCCAATGATAGAAACTAAAGTCGTATAGAGGTTCTCCCATCCATCTGCACTGGACTGAAGATTTGAACCACAGGAACTACAAAAATCAAATTAATGGATCAGTATATATAAGATAACCAATTTCGAGTTATAAACTTACAAATTTACAACCTTTTTGTCCAAGATAACATTTTTGTCTCACAACTTGATTTTTAATATCTACGAGTCTTTCTACTCGATTCTATTTCCTAGAAGCAATGCTTTAGTTTTTCGATATGTGATTCATATTCTCAGCATGAAGAGAAGAACCAATGTTAGGGACTAAAAATTTAAACTTCAAATTAAAAATGAGTATATAGATAGCATTATTCAATTTAAATCATGACCAAATTCAAAGATACAAATGTACAAACCTTAAATTTCGCAAACCCCACCAGAAACAGTTCAAGAACTTCTTGAAATAACTGGTTGATCCCACAATACCATATTGAAGCACAGTAGCAAATATACCAAAATTGAAAGGCTCTGTGTCTGATGAATTGAGAGGGCACAAATCATTTAGAATTGTGGAATTTCTAAATGCGTGGTGATCATGACAATGAAAAATTATGTTATCACATCCATCTTCTTTTTGACATGCGGAATGCCAACACCTCATCATTCCTTGAATAGCAAAAAAGTACCACATGGCTCCCAATATCTGAAAATTAAACAAATAAAAAAAATAAAAAAAAAATAAAAAATTGAAGGACATTATATAGCGTGATTAATATTTTAGATGTTATTGCTATTTCAAAATAGTCATTTGTTGCTTTTTCTAATAAACAAAAGTGAGAAGAATAATAAGAGTCGATTCGACAAACATAAATAAATAAGGATATACAATGAAACTTACATGACTAGCCATTATGTACATAGAGAAATTGAGTACACCTTTAATACATATGGAAGTCTTTGTAATTTCTTCTTTAGGAGTCCTTTTAAGTTCCACAAATGAGAGGTAAATGCGAATAAGTCGTGGCACATATTGCAACAGAGCAAAAACGTTCATGATAACCATCCTTGTTTTAGTCATATATCTCAAGTCACTCATTTTTTAAAAGAAAATGAGAATTGCCACCTGGATACCATACATTAGTACGTAGTACCAATAGTGAAAATCGATTGTTCAATAACAACGATGTCAAGAACACAAAATTAACACTCGCTAACAAAGTGTATGTGAGTTTTAAATGTATATTAGACAGTGTGTCAATTTTGCATTTAACACGAAAAAAATCCGCTTTGGCTGCATGCAAAGCAAATAGCAAAACAATTACGCCAACAAACGGATTTAATTGCTTACCTATGGAAGGGGAAGAAGAGCTACAATGTCAATTAAGATATCAATTGACACCCATATTGTCTTGGCTATTCTTTGCACACAAGATTTCCATCTAAAGCTGAAATTCATTTGGTTTTGTTTGTCATCAAGTTCATCAAATAAACCAGATGAATAGTTCCCAAGTCTATAAATTCGAATAATAATATCCATTAAATAGAAAAGATCTGTGACTGTTCCTAAAAGAAGGGCAGTTATCTGCAACTTTGGGTCTAACAGAAGGCACTTGAAATCATCGATGAGAATTGGAACGTAGAGGAATAATGGATCCACTAGAACAGCTAAAAAACATGATGCGATAAATATCTTCCTCCAATATTTTTTTATCAAAGGACTCGTCAGGTTTTTGAGATATTATGAGATAAGTTGTGTTAAATGCTTTTAAATTGTGTTAAATTGTCTTTTTTATCCAAGTATCATTATTGTGAGATAAATTGCGTTAAATGTTGCTATATGGTTGGGATATTACTATTGTGACATTCATACATATTGTACCAGCTCATCATTGCTGCACCTCGATGTTAGTACTCACCCCAGGGCCAGGGTCAGTCCTTCATGTATATGTTCACATCCGCACCGTTCGCTCGCCTTGCATCCAAGTTAGGTGTCAATCCTATTGTACAGATTGCATTAGGCAATTCTGATTCGTATGTGACCGCGCCTCGGCGCCAGTCTTCACATGATTGTAGTACTAGAGCGCATTGATTACATCCAGCCTTGTTCGGGTCAGAAATTATCTATACAAACTCGTGTGCTAGTGTAGATGGATGAGCACTTACTTATACTTGTTTAGCACATGATTATTTATTGCTACCTTTGATATATCATAACTTGGCATATTTATGGTTATTATTGTTGTGCTTGTTTACATACTTATGTAGTATGTTTTAAGAAAACTATACTTGTTTTACAGTGAGGGGTTACTATCTTCAAAAGTAAAGGTTTTTACAAAACGTTGTTTTGCTGACCCACTCAACTTCGTTTTTCGTCCCTTCAAGTTTAGTAGCTGTGCCTACGTGTAAATGAGGACTCTGGCAAAATCTCAACAGATGGTTATCTTCAGTGGTATAACTCTTACCCTAATTACTGTATTGTTCTTATGCTCTGCCATTACGTGTGAATTGAGTTCAATCTCGCTCACCCACGCACTCTTTTGATTAGGCACTTTTAGATTTAAATTTATTCACATTCTTCTTCCACTACACTACACTTTATGGTTTCGTAGTCCTCCAAGTGTCGGCCAACCCAACTTGATTTGAAGTCAAAGTGAACATTTCGGATCCGGGTGTCTTAGTCCTTTCTGACCTCAACAAGCCCAAAGGCATGCAAGTCCAGAGGAACACGAGTCAAAAGGAAGACCAAAGGAATGTGCTTGAAGTGTGTTCCAGTCATGCTTTATTTTTTTGGTTAAATTTGCAC